CAGGCTTAGTGTGGGCCTGGCTGCGGCTTTGCTGGAATCTTTGATCTCGCTGGGTTTGTGGAGTTGCTTTTCAAAGGCGAGAGTGCGCAACATTCCTTGCCCCTCTTCTTCCCTGTAGCAGTGTGACTTGGAGGTCCCCGCAGGGCGCACGCCTGCCCCTTACCCCCAGGTGACCTGCGTTCAGGCTTCTAGGTCATCTTCTGTGTTATTTATTGTTGTGTTTTTGCCGTGAAGGCTGCGCCAGACGCATCTGTGCCTCTGCCCTGTGCGGTCTGTCTGTGGCACGCATTCTGAGGACTCGGAGTCTCAAGGTGGTGGTGGTGAAGCTGCATGGGATGGTTGCAAAACTGCTCTGCGAGATCTCGGCCTGTCCATGGCCCCCTCAGCGACAGGCAAGGGAGATTTCACCCCATCGAGAGCCGCTTTTGCCATCTAAGGGGATGTACCATCTACAGGTTCCAGGAATTAGGGCGCAGGCGTCTTTGGCACCGTTTCCTGCCAACTCCAGAGGATCAGACCTGTTGACCTTTAGAGACCTTTAGAGATGTTACGGAATTATATTCAGTGGAACTTTATTTTTTTTTTTTTAAGAGTTGGGGTCTTGCTCTGTTGCCCAGGCCAGAGTGCAGAAGCACAGTCCTGGCTCACTGCAGCCTCAAGCCTCTGGGCTCAAGTGATTCTCCCACTTCAGCCTCCCACGTAGCTAGGACCACAGATGTGCGTCACCGCGCTCAGCTTATTTTTAAGTATTTTTTTAAGAGATGGGATCTGTGTCATCCAGGCTGGTCTTAAACTCCTGAGCTCAAGCAGTGTCCTCCCGCCTCGGCCTCCCAAAGCGCTGCGGTGATGGGCGTGGGCTGCTGCGCCTGGCCATGCTCAGTAGAATTTCTAATGGTCAGCTTCTAAGTTTCTGAAGTAAATATTTGAACTTGGTTTTTATTCCTTTGCTGGAATATTGGGCTCCACTTGCTCTTGTTTTCTTTAGACTCCTTCAGCCTGGCCCCATGTGAGGCTCCTCTGGTTCCGACTTCTGTGCTGACGTAGGTGGCATTGAGGTTGGGAGGGTCTGCTAGAGTGTGCCCTGGAGCCACGTAAATAACATGCAAGTCACATGTTCCCAGCTGCCCCCCAGGAAGACAGTTCAGCCATGTGCTTTAATGCGGGCACAGCAGCTCGTGCCTATAGTCACAGCTGTCTTGGAGGCTGAGGTTGGAGGATTGCTTGAGTCTAGGAGTTCAAAGCCTGCCTGGCTGACATGGTGAGATCCCACCTCTACAAATTTTTTTTTTTTTTTTGAGACAGAGTTTTGCTCTTGTTGCCCAGGCTGGAGTGCAATGGCATGATCTCAGCTCACTGCAACCTCCGCCTCCCGAGTTCAAGCGATTCTTCTGCCTCAGCTTCCTGAGTAGCTGGGATTACAGGCGTGAGCCATCACACCCGGCTAATTTTGTATTTTTAGTAGAGACAGGGTTTCTGCATGTTGCTCAGGCTGGTCTCCAACTCCTAACCTCAGGTGATCCACCTGCCTTGGCCTCCCAAAATGTTGGGTGGGATTACAGCCATGAGCCACCACGCCCAGCTACAAAAAATTTTAAAATTAAAAAATTTATTTGGCCAGGCGCGGTGGCTCGAGCCTGTAATCCCAGCACTTTGGGAGGCCGAGACGGGCGACACGAGGTCAGGAGATCGAGACCATCCTGGCTAACATGGTGAAACCCCATCTCTACTAAAAAATACAAAAAACTAGCCGGGCGAGGTGG